CACACTGCAGGGGAAGTATGCTGGTTTTGGAACAGACTTGATTCTCAGTTCAAACTCTGGCTCTGTGTGACATTGAGCAAATCTTTTAACCTTTTTAGGTCTCAGTTTCCTCATTTTTAAAATTGGAGAAGATGGAGAGAATGACCTCCAAGTTCCCAGCTCCAAAGTATGGTCTTATGATCGGGAATCTATAAATTGTTTATGTAGGAGCCCCATTGGGCTAGAAAGGGGGCAAAGGGAGAGGCACTCACCCTAGCCCATTTGCTAACTTCCTATTTTAACTAATTATTGTTATGGTTGAATTGTTTCAGTCATGTTCAACTCTTCATGACCCCATTTGGGGTTTTCATGGAAAAGATACTGGAGTGGTTTGTTGTTTCCTTCTCCAGCTCATTTCACAGATGAGGAAATGAAGCCAACAGAGTTAAGTGACTTGCCCAGGGTCACACAGCTAGAAAGTGTCTTTTTTTTTAAGGCAATTGGGGCTAAATCACACAGTCATACAGTTAGTCACACAGCTAGTAAGTGTCAAGTGTTGATCTGAGGCCAGGTTTGAATTCAGGTCCTCCTGACTTCAGGGCCGGTGCTCTATCCACTGAGCCAGCTAGCTGCCCCTGAAAGTGTCTATTGCTTGCTCAATAGGAACTAAGCCTGGTTGATCCTACACTGCCAGGTTAAACTCCAGTTGCCCCACCCTAGTTATGGCTCTGATAAGAGCTTTTACTGCTGTTCCTTGGAGGAAGAAGTGTGTGTGTGTGTGTCTGTGTCTGTGTGTGTGTGTGTGTCTGTGTCTGTGTCTGTGTGTGTGCTGGAAAGGGATGAGCTGAGGAAGAAGGCAAATTGGGTAATAAGGGTTTTAATACTGTAGTCAGAAGGAAACCACACTTTTTACTTTTGATGAAAACATACATAGCAACCAGGAATGTGACCAAGCCCCACCTTCAAACTACAATTTTTAGAGTGCATAATGCTTTATGTCAGGGATTCTTTGATAATGAGAAATCACCTTTAGAAGAGTAGTAATAGTTTCCTGAAAACAAGTTTAAATCCAAGGTTTATGAGTTTCAGCCCACGTGAGACTCTACTTATTTGAGTTTGTTCAATCTATCAATCATCAACCATTTATTGCATGCCTTCTAAGTGCCAGTCACTGTGTTAGGTGCCAGGGACACACACACACACACACAAAAGTAAAAGTCCCTGGCCCTCAAGGACTTTACATCATGCCTACTGGAGATAACATATTCTTAGGTAGATACAAAGTATATAAAAGATAATGGAGCTAGGGAGAGAAGAAGAATTTGTTCTATAAAGCTTGGACTCAGTCAAAAGGCTGCACCCGAGGACTTAGAAGGCCACATGTGGCCCCAGTGGCTAAGGTTCCCCACCCCTGCTAGCAACTTCAGGCATCAGAAAAGACTTTATGTGGAAGGTAGTACTTACTTAAACTAGGAATTCTAAGAGGCTAAAATGAGGAGGGAGTGTATTCCAGACTTGGATTACTGCCAGTTTAAAATCACAAAGTCCAGAAGTGTTAATGGGAGTTAACTTCCCCCTGGGGTTAACAGGGTAACAGCCTCAGTTTTCTTTATTGGAAAATGAGGGGATTGCATTAGATGGCCTCCAAGGTCCCTTACAACTCTACATCTATGACTTACACCGTGGGCCAACAGATTCCCAATGGAAGAACAGAATTATATTAGTGATATTATTTTTCTTTATCTCCTGGAAACAACAAATAGTGGGAAAATTTTGTGAAAACAATTCTAAACATCTTAATCAGACCCTTTCAGCAATCTCTAATTTTCAGAAGGAATTGTGAGATACTCTGTGACTCCCCTGCTATGGGACTGTGTCTTTCATTTGAAGGGGTTTTTACTTTTACTATACTTTTTTTTTATACACTTTTACTTTACTACAAGTTCCTCACTTCTAACCACTTTCTCGCTTAGTCTTCGAAAGTCACTGATGAACAATTAACTTGGCCAGAGACACTGAAAAGGTTTCAGGCACCCTTCCTTCATCTAGGCTATACTTGTATCTCATTTGATTCTCACAATAACCCTGTGAGCTGTGTAAAATGGCATGTTTTTTCCTGTTTTGTAGAAACTGAGGCTCAGAGAACTAAGGTAACTTCCCCAAAGCAGCATAGCTTCTAACTGGCAGGTTTTCTACTTCCACACTTAATGCTGTTTCCAGAGCATCAACCTGCTTTTTACTGTCTTACCCTGGTTCAGAGGGCCCAAGAGAAGGAAAACTTTGTAGAAAAAATAAGTGTAGAGGGCAACAGAAAGGTCAGAAGAGAAGCAGGAGAGACATGAGGAACTGATCCTCTTCAATATATCTCTAATACTTTACTCTATTCTGTCTCAGGTCCTAACTCTAGCCTACATTATTGTGAGTCTCCTAATTGGACTTCTAGCTTCTAGTTTCTCCTTGCTCCAAATTATTCTTTATGTGGGGATAGAGAATGGACCTGTGATTTCGTTGATATAGAGAACTCCTGGGTGAGGAAATTCCCTCTACCAATGAAGGTCCACCCTTTCTCTGCAGCTTAAAGTCAGAAAGTTACCTAGAGCACCTAGATTTGAATTCAGGTGTTCCTGACTCCAAGTCCAATTCTACCCACTATAACATATTATTTCCCTAAACATCCTTAAAGTAATAGGTTCATCCCTATTTACTGTATTCTTTTAACATTACATTAGCAATGGGAACTAGACCAGTGATTTCTTTGGTACAGAGAAATTCTGGATAAAGAAACTCTCTACTAATTATGTCAGATCCTTATCTGAAATTTATTTTATTAGAGAGTTTCCTGGGTCACTGACTGGTGACATGATTTACCCTGAATCACAAAGCCACCATGTGTCAGAAGCAAGACTTAAACCCAGGTCTTCCTGTCCCTGAGATAGCTTTCTAGCCACTGTACCACTTTGCCTCTCTTCTTCCACATAACAAATATTCAAAATAAGCTTTCAGAAGCACAAATCTGACCAAATTATTCACTTGCTCAAGAAACTTCAGTAGCCTGCTATTACTTCTAAAGTAAAATATAAATTTCTCCACTGGGCATTTAAACCCGTGATGCCCTGGCTTCATTCTGCCTTCCTCTGCTCTGGAAATCACAATACTCCTCTTCACACACTTTATCATCCAGCCCACCTGGCCTACTTGCAATTAGCCAAACTTAGCAGTCAATCTCCCACCCCTATACCTTTACCCAGAGTATCCTCCATACCTAAAATATATACCTTCCTCACTTTTCCCACTTAGAATCCCTATCTTCCTTTAAGTCTCAGCTTATTTGCCACCTTTTGTGGGAGACCTTTCCTGATACCTACAATCATCCATGCTCCCTCCCTCCTCAAATTATAGTGTTTATACTTATCTGTTTACATTTTGTGAATGCCCCCCCCAATAAAATGTAAGCTTCTTGAGGGAAGGAACTGATTGTTTTTTCCTTTTTATCTCCAGAGCCTAGCACAGTAGCTGCTATATAGTAGATAGTTAGTGTTCATTGAATTGGGTTGATTCCAGTCAAACTGGTTACTTCTAGGGTTCTACTCATTGAAACTCTATATTACAATTATACAATTATTACAATTTTGGGGCAGCTAGGCGATAAAATGGGAAAAGTACCAGACCTGGAGTCAGGAAGACCTGAGTTCAAATGTGGCCTCAGGTACATACTAGCCATGTGACCCTGGGCAAGTCACTTCACCCCATTTACTTCAGTTTCCTCAACTGTAAAATGAGTTGGAGAAGGAAACGGCAGACCGCTCTAGTATCTTTGCCAAGAAAACCTCAAACAGGGTCATGAAGATTCAGACATGAATGAAATGACTGAACAATAAGAACAAATTACAATCAGACAAGCTAAATGGTACTTCTTGACTTGACTTGGCACCTAAATGCTATAATGGAAAGAGCATTAGTCTTAAAATCAGAAGTTCAAGTCCTAGGTCTTATGTTTCTGTATTTGGCACTCCACTGGAAAGTCAATGAATCCATTCCCATAATTCCCTTCAGGTTTGCTCACATGCCCCACAGTCAGAAGCTGCTAGAACAAGTATTCACTCTTGTCACACCATAAAACTAAAAGTATTACATATCTGTTCCTAGTGTGTAGATATCAGCCTGGAATACTTTAATGATCTGCCTGATTCAGTATCCCAGGAGATGTGTGTGTGGAGAACTGTTATGGGTCAAGCAGCTACAAAGGTGATTGGAGACTGAAAAGTTTTCTTCTCAACTTGCAAAAGTCAGAAATTTCTTACTTAAAAAAAAAGTTATTCTTGTAGGTTCATTGTTCTGTAGTAGGGCTGCCTTCTCCCCAGGGCCCAAGTCACTTGCTATAAGAAAGTATTTGGTGAATTAAAGGGTGTGTTCATGGTCTGCTGAAGAAGTAATGGTCTACCTAAGCACATGGTTTAATACCAGGGAGTAAGCTGTGAAGTAGGAATCATCAGTGGCTCACTCTGATAATTGACATCAACATTTAACTCTGCATTTTCAAAAACAATAAGCATGTTTGTGTGTGTGCACACATACATATATACGTATGTATTAACACAGATCCATCCTTTGATGGGAGCAAATTAGGAAAAGAGTGAATTGCAAAGAGTTAGTCCTTTTCTGCATTAGATTTAATTTTCTTTCTGAAAATACTACTCTATTGAGAGGAAACATTATATTTCAAAATAGAGAGGTGCCTTTAGAGATGTGGGGGACTTAGAGGTCGTCTCATCCAAACTTCACATTTTTAAGATGAGGAAACTGAGGATAGATGGGTTAAGTGTTTTGTCCAAGATCACACAATTGGCAAGTAGTGGCTCTAGACCCCAACCTAGGTACTCAGACTCCTTTCCCTTTTATACCATACTATTTCAGGGTGAGAATAGTAATTTCATCTCTTTAAAAAGTAAAATTTGAGGTGCTCCCCAAATGAGCAATGACAATAATAATCAAAATGTTTAAGGGTAAAATATTATATACTTGGTGAAAATGATGAATTCTGGGGAACTGATTCATGTGACTGGAAAAGGCCATCCATTTCCTGATTCACCTTGGTTTTTTATTTTTATGGAGAATAACATTTATTAATCTAGTCTGTGAAATAATTAACCATTTCTTTTCTTTTCTCTATGCCTTCCTTTTTGCTTTCATTTCAGTGGTTTTCCTAAACTGACATCTCAGAGAAGAGAAGCTAAGATGGGGTTAGAGTGAAGATCATCACACAGAGAGCAAGCTCCTACCTTGGATCATGATTGACATGAAAGGAAAATTTTAATATCTGTGATATTTAAAAAGAAGGCAGAAGATTAGGTTAAAATTATGAAAAACCACAGACTAAAGACTGTGGCCTTTTGCCATTTAATTATTAATTGGATTTTCCAATGTACAAGCCAGAAGACACACATCATACTATGGCAACCCTTGGGTGTTCCGTTTTTATCCCTTCCATTTTTTTATTCTCTTAACTAAGATCAGCTTTATTTTTTGTCCATTTATTTGTTTTAGTGTAATTATGTAGTTGTGCAATATCACCAACTGTTTCATACTAGAGTTAATTGATTCAACAAATATTATTAATACCTGCTATATGAAAGTAATGATGCTAGAGTTTCCACTGAAATCTGATAGTGCCCTCAGGAGACTAAACATTCTAGATATTAGTAAATATTTTGCATAGAGATACTTTTTTTTAAAAAAAGTCTTCATTTTTCTTAAAAATAAAAATGAAATACTCAAAATAATGTTTTATATAAATATTGCATATCTTAACTCTGGTATTTATGAAAAAAATCTAAATAATAGCTGATAAATAGTATTTTATAATTTACTGATATTGAAGGAAGATAATAAACCAAAGAGTATATTCTTTTAAAATGGCTTGCAGAAAAATATGACAAGGCAAAGACAAATCATGAACGTGAAACCCAATATAATTTCATGAAGTGTAAAATTAAAAATTTCATTTTCAAAAATTTGATCTCAAATGCTTTTCATTCTCTTTTCACTATGTATCTTTTCACTATATATTCACTACGTATCACACTAGTATGTGTATTTAAAGTACACAAACAAGCAAAAACCAAATGTTAAATATAAGAAAATGCAGGGATCTCATTCTGTGAAAGTTCAGCCAGAGGCTTTGGTCTAGAAAACTACGTATAGGATGAAAGTCAGCATTCACTGGTGCCTATCATCTGGGGAATCAGAAATGTTGCATCTCAGTTTGTTTTATGGTTTATAAGATGAGTCCTCCTCTTAGTTCTATGAAAGGTAATTGCCATTCATATAGCCTACAGAGAGATCCTTATCCTCAGGGTTTAACAAGGAACTTGGGCAGATGGTGGCATAGGGATGGGAAAGGATCCCAAAACTAGGGGATGGTAATTCTATGCTAGGAAAACTGTCAATCAGTCAAATTGACATGCTGATGTGAAAAGAGAGTTTGTATGCTTGAGCAAAGCATTGATTCATATCCTATTTTGAGCCATGCTCTAAACAAAATACAATGTGATTGCAAGGATATTTGTCAGGCAGACAAAGAATATTAGAGCTGGAAGCAGCCTCAGGCTGTCTAGTCCACCTTATACTTTTAACAAGAATCCACCCAGCAAGTGGTCATCAAGCCTGTGCTTGAATACTTCCAGTGAGGGGAACTCAGCTATGTCCCATGGCAGCCAGTCCACTTTTGGTTAGCTCTAATTATCAGGACTTTCTCTTACATTCATCAACTCTAAGTTTTCCTCTGTTACTTCCATGAACTGATGCTTGTTCTGCCTTCCAGGAGCAAGTAGAATGGGTCTAATCCTTCTTCCACAGGACAATCCTTCATACATTTAGAGACAACTATCAACTGACCCTCCCAACCCCAGGTCTTCTCCAAGATAAACATCTCAAGTTCCTTCAAATAACTCTCATGTGGCATGATCTCAAGCCCTTTGTCTATTTGTTCACCTCACAACACTCTCCAGTTTGTCAATGCTGCACATTTCAGGTCGCATGCTAGAAGGTTCTGACCTAATAATTACACTTACATATTGTGTGTATACACACACACATATATGTGTATGTATGTGTGGATTATATATGCTATTCTATATTATAATATAACAACACATACTTATGTGTATATATATCGTGGATATAATACTATTCTATATTATATATGATCTTATTTACTATTATATAGTATACTGTTATATAATGTATAATATAATATATTAAAGTATTTTATATTAATATACCATATAATTTATATTATATTGTTATATAGCATATTTAATATAGTATGGTATTTATACATATACATTCATATATATATGCATATATACATTTTTTAACACACATACCCTCCAACACAAAAAGGAGATTTGCCCAAAGCCACCAAAAATTTATCAGAATGACTTTGTATTTTGAAAATTGATCAGCCATCAAATATATTTAGTATCTTTGTTCCAGACACAGTTTTTCTTTCTTTTTTTTTTTCTTTTGACTAGGCAATGGGGTTAAGTACTTGCCCAGAGTCACACAGCTAGTAAGTATTATGTGTCTGAGGCCGGATTTGAACTCAGGTCCTTCTGACTCCAGGGCTGATGCTCTATCCACTGTGGCACCTAGCTGCCCCCACCAGATAGAGTTTTGCTCCCAGGATATTGGTATGTAGGAGATAGTTATCGACTTCTATTCCTTTCCCATCACAGCATGCATTCAATGAAAATAAATATAATTGATCATAATAATCTTTTCCACATAACATTAGCAAATCCAACCATTCCTCTGCCTAAATAATTGCTAGTTCTTCCAAATAGGTACCCAATAAAGTGGGCACCTGCTAATTTACATAATTCTATTAGAATTTTGTTGTATAATAATACTAGGTTGTTGACAACATATTAAATTATGATAAACAAAGAAAGCATTAATTTGGGCAATGTGCAATAACTCAGAAGATTGTAATTGCCAGTGATATATTCCTGTCTCTGGGACTCATCGGTGCTTTATTGTAACTCAACCTCCTCCTCCTCTCCCATTCTGAACCCCAATTCACACATTTTTTAAAATCTCACATTTTAAAGTAGGTATTGGTTTTTGTTGTCACATTATTACTTGCATAGAGTCTAGTAATTCTACATAGGGTACTCTGGCCTATAAAAGTTTACTCTCTCTAAAAGCACTTTAGAGACCATCACATCCAACTTCTTTACAAATGAGAAAATTGACACTCAGGGTGATAATGCAACTTGCCATGTTAGTGACAAGTCTCTGGACTCCTAATACAAGGAGTCCACTACACCACATTGCCTTGAAAAGACATATTACTCTTCTATGGTTGAAGATAAAAGTTGTATTCCAAGTTATTAAATATAACAAATTCCACTGCAAATTGAGACAAAAACAGAACATGCATGAAAGGTGAAGATTACAATCAGGCTGACTGGACAGGTTTAGAAACAACTGGTAGAAAACACCTGCCCTGACTGATCTTACCCTAAGTTCTAAATAGCCAGATGAAATAGCTTGGAACAATTTACTTTGACTGTCAAAATCAGATGGGGACCCTTTCATTTCTCCTTTTTCCACATTCTCAAGAAGGAGGAATGCTAAATATCTGTCATGTTCCTCTTAAAATTATTTCTTCAAAGCATTTTTTTCTACTACATAAGAACTTGGCAGAAAGGTACAAAGAAAAGGTTCTGTATCTTTATTAGTACACATTTCAATGTTTTTCTATAAACAAATGCTGGTTTCATTGTGAAAAAACACTTTTGGTGCTTTATTACATAATAGCTAAGTAAATGAGAAGACAAATATAACTTCCAAACATTTTAATTCCAAGATTGAGATCTGATATTCTAGATGTCGGCAAGAACGTGGAGATGAACAAGAGAATAGAAAATTAAGTTACAAAATACAAAGATTCATATATTTTGGTAAAAGACTGTAGAGATCATCTAGTCCAGGAGTCAACAAACCATGGTCTATGGACCTAATTCATACAAAAAAAATAGGTTGGGGGCCAGATTTGGCCCACAGACCTTAATCTGCCATTTCCTAATTCTAGTCTAGTCCATTGTCTTTAGAAATGAGAAAACCAAGGCAATATAGGTTCATTAACTTGCTCTTGCTTGCCAAAACTGCAACTACTGATTCTTATAGCCAGACACATGCCTCAAAATGCTCCAAAGGTAAAGGGAAATGGTCAACATTTCTAAAGTATTTACTATGCACCAGACACTGTGATAAACACTTTATAATTATTATCTAATTTGATGAGGACATCAATACACAAAGATGCATAGGACACAAGATGGTATACTGTGGTAGGGGAGACAAAGGCCTCAAGACCAAGGCACTGTGAGCACTGAAAAGCCCATGCAGAGGACACCACTGCCAGAGAAGAGAACAAAAGCACCAAAACAACCAAGAGTTTACCTTGGGTCTGACCACCAAGGGGAAGCAAGAGTTTAACATCTGATAATTTCCTGTTTTAATTTAATTATTCTTCCTCAGGTAATGTGTGCTCGGGACTTACTCTCCCAAGGTCTGCTCATGCTGATTGGTCAAGTCCTCAGAAGGAGGACTTACCTGTCTCCTGAGAGTCTAAGGGACTGAGAGTTGTTTTTCTAAGGCTGTATCTCACAAGCCCCAAATAGTATGCTTCTCTCCATGATTATCAGTGGATATCAATTACTCAAGCTTAACTGGCTTTTAGAAAACAGTATTTCTAGCTAAAGTAAAGCTAAAATAAGAATAATTGGTACAAAACATCCCCCAAAAGAGACACTGTCTCTCACTAGTACATACAGAGTCCAGGGCACAAATTAACATGTACATATGGCAAGAGAGCTCCAGCTTCATCGAAATCTTTTTCTTCCCCTAGGTATAATGTTGTTTTTTCTGCTGATTGTTTTGTAGAACCTTGAATCTGCCTGTGGTTATCATGTCCAGTTTGTCCTCAGCTCCCGATGCAAACACTGCTTCAGTTGATCTGGGGATTCTACTAAGATGCCAATGAAAATTTCAAATCTTCCAGCCTTCCAAAGTCCATAAGGTC